GGCTTGCTTCTCGTATATTTTATCCCTCTCTGTCGCCGTGCAGCAAAGTCTGCTGGGAGCTGGAGACGCTGGTTTATCTGGACGCCTCCCAACTGTGGTCCGAAAGGTTGGTGTCGGAGGATCGCGCCGCAGCGAATGCATCGATGATGTATCGGCGACGTCGGCGATGCGTCTGCGCCGTGGGCGTAGGCGACAAAGAGATCTACATCGAGCCGCATCCCCGATGCATCGGCGATGCGGCCAAATCCTCCGACCCCACTGACCTCTACCCCATCCAGTCAAGTCCTGCAGCACCGGGCCGGGACAGGGCAGATGCGAGGCTGCCAAGGCGCCTGGTCACCGCCCTGGGCCAGGCTGCGCCGCTGCGACTCCTCTCCGTGGCGCGGGGAGCGGGAAAAGACCAGACCCGCCGCGCAGCCGAGCAGACCGGACCCTCCGAGGCCCAGGCTGCCACGGAGAGACGGGGAAGGGCGCTGCACCTCCCCCCCCCCCTCCCTGGGCGCCCGCGGGGGCCCTCGCGGAGCTGCGCGGGCCAGAAGACACGCTCCACGAAAGATCCGTCGAGAGACCTGGCCGCGCTGCGTGTCCGTGTTATGACATCTTGCCATCGCTCGGACGTCCAGTCCCCGTCCGTTGCTCGGTAGGCAAGATGATCCAGGATGCTCCTCGATGATCCCCGCCAGAAAAAATGCACACGCCCGAGCGATGCCAAGCCACAGTCGACACTTGGCCCCAAGAGCGCAGATGAAGAACACGAGTTCCTGAGGAGACGGGCCAAGGCCCCACGGTGATACTCACAAGCGAAGGGCTTTCCAATGTGGGCAGCCCCAGTACGGAGTGCATCAGGGTCCCTCTCCAAAGCGGGGGTGGTTCTTAACCCTCGTGCCACACGCAGGAGAGCCCAGAATCGAATCGACAAGTCGGATCAGCGATCGACATGGATCGGATCGTCGGAAATCGACAGCCAGGTCGGGAGGAGTCGAATCGGTGGAAATCGGCGGAGTAGTAAGGCCCCATTGAAAAATCGGAATCCAAGTCGGAGTCCGAAACCGAATCGAATCGGAATCGGAAGCCATCGACATCGAGTCGGATCGAGTTGGAGGCATCGAAGCGAGTCCTGCAGTGTGGGCAGCCCTGGTAGGACGTGCCTCGGGGCCCCTCTCCAAAGCGGGGGCGGTTCTTGACCCTCGTGCCACACGCAGCCTCACGGCGGGAAGCACTGCGATCGCAGCAGCTGGTGCGTGGGCATGCTGAGCGGAATGCCGTAGGCAATCGCCTCCGCTGCTCGAGTGGGGGCGGAACGGAACGGGCGCCGAAGAAGAGCCACGCACGTGCGCGGCCGCGTGTGCCGAGGCCCTCGCTGGTGCACGTTGCGTTTATGACATCTGGCTCCACCCTCGCCTCCACAGATTCGCTCAGCAGCGTGAGCGCAGACTGCCACTGCCAGCATCCCCCGCACGCACGGATTGCAACGTGGTAGTGGACAGCGTTGACCTGCACCTGCAGCCGCGGAGCGTCCCGGAACAATGTCAGCGCATGGCTCCACTGCTTCGCGTCCCCGTACTTCTTGATCGCAATTGTGAGGTCTTTGTCATAGGAGACATCGATCAAGGAGCGATGCAATGTCGTTACGCCGCTAGCCTGAGGGTCCACGCAGTGGATCGCCGTGGCTCTATATATCAAAGCCAACTGCGCGACGGCTAACGCCGAGAAAACCCACTTCGACAGCAAACACACAACCCCTGTACGGAAATGGCAACTGAGGGGTGCAAGAGCGAGGCTAGACGGACGGGGGCGCGGCGACTAGACCACGGATGGCTAGACGAAGAGACAACCAGAAGCAAACAGTGAGCAAGGGTCACGGGGATACCCGTCCTGAAGATACAAAAAACAGATCTTCTTCTTGGAAGCTCAGATCGACCAGAACCACGCTCAAGATTACACGCCGATGCCAGACAGATGCCCCAGCGCTGACCACATGACCAACCTCTGTCAAGTCACCGTTCAGACAACGGCGACATCAACACCTGGAACAATTTCCACATGGCACTGTAGAATACCTTGAACCCAAGCAAATTGGCATGCCGGAACTATCATGAAAAAAACTGGTCCTGCAGCCGGGGCAGTCCACGTGACAAGTTCCCCATTCTGCTTCATATGCTGACCGTTCTAGTCCAAGATGCCTCCACGACGGCCAACGACGCCTGCACGGCGACCGAAGATGGTCTCAAGACGGCCCCCGATGCCTCCACGAAGGCCCAAGAGAGTTACCAAGAGGCCCTCAAGCAAAGCCCGAATAGGCCAACCTCAAATATTGTCCGAAAGTGTTTGAAGGATCTGTGCATTCTCGCCTGCTTGGGCATTCGTCAGCTCAGGACGGTCCAAGAAGCCTCCACGATAGTCTCAAGATTGCCCAAGAGACGGCCCGACACCACAATGGCTCAAGAAGCCTCCAAGACGGCCCCAAGAAGGCCCAAGAGGGCCTCTGGAGAGACCCGAGACGGCCTTAGAGGGCCATTCGACGGTCCAAGACGTCGTCATGATGCACCCACAACGGCCCTG